TAATAAAATCCCTAATATGATTAGGGTAACTTGGATATAAGAGGATTATTAAATTCTAATTAATTAAATATAGATTTAATTAATTTGAAATAATAAAACCCTAATATGATTAGGGTAACTTGGCTATAAAAGGGTGTGTTAGGTCTAGCAGTCATTTTACACAACACACTCAAAACCTTCAGCTGTTTTCTCTCAAAAGGGGTTTTGGGGAAAACAAAGATTGCTCTCAATCGGGTGAACTGAGTAGAGGCCGAGACGTGATTTCGTGGAGGCTTAAGATTCGAACCGATCTATACCACCAGTATTCACTGTTGTCCTTGCTGTTTTTCAAGGAACCCACTGTAAGTATTCGAATCTCTTCCTCCCGATTTCAGTTTTTTGTACTTGGATCGCTGGTGAGACCGTCGAGTTTTGTTTCCACTGCGCCATGGGGTACGCTGACGGTCCCAACAAGAAGAAGGTTCATGTTCAAGTGAACATATTGTACTCAATGTCTTCAGGTTTTATTGGTAGAAAAATGTCTGTTTTGCGTCTAAGAAGACAATGATGTAGCTTTATTGGCTCAAAGAAAGGTAAGGGTATGACTTTTGTGTCTCAAAAAAGATAAAGGCAACGTTTCAAAGTCTCAAGGAAAGGTAATGTCAAAATTTGGTCTTTTGGTAGTGACCATGAATTATTTCGGGTAAAGAATCAAGAGATTTATATCTGGTTTTAGACGAATAAGAAAGGTCTAATCTTCTCATATGTCAAAAATCCATAATTCTTGAAGAATTAAGAGAATCTGTAATTCATTCGATATTCGAAGAACTAAAGATTAAAACTTGTTCAATCTTTCAACCTTAGAAGGTATCATAAGTTCGATCATTAAAAGATTAAACACATTTAAGCAAATATTAAAGACAAAAAAAATGAGTTCAAACAAAACAATGCTCACAATGCAAATGATAGATGCAATGCCCCCATCCTTCTTCGATTATCCATGCCCCTGAATCCATCAGGTTCTGGATCTTGCGCTTCAGTGCCTTACAATTTTCAGTGGAATGTCTAGAGCTTCCTATATAGCTTCAACAGCATAACCCTCAAGATATGTAGACTCTTTTCTCAAATCATCCTGGAAGACTCAACCCTGCAACCAGCTGAACAAGCTCACATCATACTGATTTCAACTTCTTGTTTCTATTCTCAATGTGGTCACATGATCAGGATCACTTCCATCGGTTTCTTCACAAATTGATCCCATGTTTTTATGAATGATGCATGTGAAAATACTTAAAAATAAAATGCAGATGCAAAATGCAAAGATGCAAATGCAGATGCAAAAATGTTAATCCCAACAATGAATATCGTAGAGCAATTTTCACCAGAAATAAAAGCCTTTACATTACAAGACAATCCACTTTATAGACATGCCTTCGCTTAGATGTTGAGTCTGAAGTGGATCATTGTTTTATCTCAGATCTTCATCCTTGAAAATGATTCCCCTCAAGCGTTTTGTAACTTACCGTATGGTATCTAGTTCGTATGCTTTTATTCGACAAAATTTAAAGCAAAAGGAAAGGTTCAAAAATGCTCCTCCTTTGTGTACAAGTATTTTGGGTACCTACTGACGGACAGAGGTTAGGTATGACTATACCTAGGGTGACCATTCTACGGTTCACTATATGCATGGTTTAGACTCTAACAGGGAAAAGGGTACTCGAGTTGTCCTTGATGTCGGTGCCCCCTTGGGCTGCCAAACCCTCGATCCTCACCCATTACAGGTTTTGAACGAAACGAGTTCAATTCGAGGGGATTCACTACCTTAACCCATATGAGGAATAAATCCCTATGAAGGTATAAGGTATGTATCCCATGGGTTATTTGCTAAAACTCATACGAATAATAAATTCTTACGAGAGTAAAGCATTAACCCCAAATAATTTGGATCGAATCTCGTGTCTAGAGCTCATGTTATGCAAATGCACGTGATATGTGTGAGGAGGAACATACCTATATTTGACTCAAAAGACGAACAAATAAAAACTCTCAACAAAAACTTGAACAGGGCTGAAAGCAAATATTAAAATATTAGTATGATAATTAAAAATAAAGAAATTAAAAACTTCAATAAATGGATCATAAATTAACTAAAGACTCGAACTCATGATTTCTACCACAACGACAATGTGTAAGCGACTTACAGCCTGACTCTCTAAAAAAAGTCCCAATGGAGTCGTCAAGCAGTCATAACCATTTTTTTTAAAAATCAATTAAATATTATTTTAAAAAACAGTTATGACTTTAATTTTGAAAATTTGAGTGATTTGGAATTGATTTGAATAAAATGGAAAATAGTCGCCATCGACCTTCGGGTTAGGTAGGTCAAATACCTAAAAACGTATTTTAAAACAATTTTAAGGAAAAATCGTTTTTAAGACAAAAAAATTGGGCTGCTTTCACAAAGATTCGATTTAAAAGGGTTCGAGGGTCGGTTACGTGTGGGGAAGGGTAAGCACCCCCACAATGCCCAAACACTGGTACTGAATCGCTTACACATGATCGTAAATGGTGGAAATCATGAATAGAATATAAAATTAAATTATAATTCATTTATTGAAATTTAATTAATTTGCTTTGAATTATTAATTAAAGAAAATTCTTTAACTTGAAAAGAGATATCGAGATTAGCAATTCTCCGTCGGGAAAGCTATCTCGACTATTTCTTATCCCTAAAGAATATTCTCTCTTCAATAAAACGCTAATCGAATATAAATTGAAAATTGAGATTTGCTTAAAATAAACAAATTAATGTTTAGAAATGTACATTGTATCATTTAAATAAGAACACATTAATTAGTAAAATAAACTATATTTTATTTCAAGTTCTCATGTCGTTAAAATGTTGTATTGGATGCACCACTTTGACCAAGTGACGCTTTCCAAGCTCATTCTAAGCATATGTGTTCTTGAAATATTCGAATAATATTAATATTTAAGGAAATATAATAGAAACAAATGCGATGAGAAATGTAAAATAAAATATTTACAACATAAAATAATAACATTTATTTTAATGTTATACCTAAAAATATACACTATGTTAAATTTATACATTCATAAGGGATTAAAAAAAACAATAAAAATTTAAAGGACAAAATAGGATTAACAAAAACTTGAGGACCAGAATAGCAAAAATAGAAACTTGAGGACCTAAATAGCAAAAATAAAAACTTAAAGGATTAAAATAAAGAACATAAAATCAAAGGACTAAAATAGCATAAATAAGAACTTAAAGGAATAAAATAGAAAAAATAGAAATTTAAAGGACTAGAATTGTACAAATAAAAACTTTAAGGACTAAAATAGCAAAAACAAACATTTAAAGGACTAAAATAGAAAAAATAGAAACTTAGGAACTAAAATGGTATTAACAGAAACTAAAAAGGCTAAATAGTAATTATAAAATAAACCAGAGCCCAAATCGCAAATGTTAAATAATACAAGAACTAGAAATATAAATAACCCATAAATTATATTTAGGACTAAAATAAATAACCAGAAATATAGAGGACTAAACAATAATTAAACCAAATACCAAACAGTGACTAAAATGAAACAATTACAAATAGCATGATCATATTAAAACATAAACAGAAAATGATATAATACATGAGATAGTGACTAAAAAGTAAACATAGAAAGATAAGAGCTCAAATTAAGATGTCTCAAAGTTCATTAATGGCCAAAATAAAATGATACAAAAGACTAGGTGTCTAAAGTACTATTTAACCCCAAAACAATAAAAAACTCGATGAAATTACAAAACATAAGGACTAACCCCACTATTTTCCCCAAACCCAAAAACATGAAAAAAGGGGTGCCAAAACGACACCATTTTGTGCTGCATATTTAAGCCCCAAAATTACTTTCAATTTCTCATATCCCTAATTTCTTTTCTTCTTCAGAAACCGAGAGAGAGAGAGAAAAAAAAACTCTCTCAACTCTCTCATCGGAGGAAAGAAAAACGACCTCGTCGATGGAGCTCCCGGCGGCTCACGATGGTCGGAGAACCCAGACCACCCCAACATGTTCGTCTTCTTACCCTCAACTCACATCTCTAACTGGTTTAGCCTAGAAACACCCCTAGAGCCCTAGATCTAACTTTATACCTTTCAAAATCTTAGAGGAATGGCGACCCTCGGGCTTCCCGATGCTTCGAACAGCGGTAAGAACCCTCTTTCTCTCTCTTTTTCTTGTTTACTTCCAATGGTTCGAATAGGTTTTCTCATTTTTTTTGGGGTTGGGTTCGAATAAGTAAGGATTTCTCTTTTTTTCCTTCGATTTTTTGTTCTCTCATTTTTTTTCTCTCCTCTCACCGATTGGTCCCCTGATATCTCCTCTTTTTTTTATTTGCATGCTTGATGGATCTGATAAATCCCTCGGGATTTTGGACTTGATTTGTTTTCCATTTTTTATTTTTGATTGATAGCATGTTGATTGACTCAGTCACTGTAGGATGGAAGCAGCAGGCGAGAACAGCTCGACGGTGACAGTGGAGAACAGGCAGCAATAGACATCATATCTTTAGGGTTAGGGTTTCAGAAACCCTAGGGAACCGAGTCGGTTTTGAATTTGGGTTTGGATTCGGGTCGAATGTTGTGCGGGTCGAATCCAGGTAGGCCTGGATCAATCGTATTCTAGTTGGGTCTAGATTAAATTGTAACCGGGTTGGATATCTCCATTGGGCTTCAGTTGGATTTCTAGGTGATAGCTGGGTCACTTGTAATGAGCTCTGAGACTCAAGTGTTGGGCATGCAAAAGTTGTAAACAAAATTAATAATAATAATAATAATAAAATAATATTTTTGATAGACCAGATAAATAAGAAAGTCTACAAAGATGATTAATTATTTATTATTAAATAATTAAATATTTAAAATCGATATTATTCTATAATCTCTTCACGTAATAGAAAACAATAATGAGACTATATATACACGTATGGAGACGAGAAGATAAAATCATAAATAACGCTTCAAAAACAAACAGCTGAAATCTTTGCCTTTCTTTTATTTTCTCTGTCAAATCTTTTGACAATTGTTGTTGTTGACAGCTGCCCACTTCTTGAGAAAAGCTTTTTCTGATCTTCCTTTTTCATTGTATTTATTGTATACTGTTTCTTCCTTTCTGGAAAATCCTGGAGAAGAAGAAGAATCTTTGATTGATTGTCACTTTCTTTGATGAATTCAAGGCAACAAGTTCGGCAGGGACTTACCTAAACAGAAAAGATGCCTACTCTTTAATCTCTCTTCTTCTTCCTCTTGAGATTTTTTTTACTTCCCATTCATGAAACAATAAAAGAGATCTTCGAAAATTATGATTTTTTTCTCTTAAATCTTCAATGAGATATCGAATGATATCGAAATTACATCAAAATTTTGAAATCTACAATGTCATGGCAACAACACCATGGTAAGATAAGAAAACGAGACTGGTCGTCATCTTCTTCATAATCTCTGATCCAAAACTACAGACTCAAGCGTAAGGAAGTATTGGAGAAGAAAGATAAGAGGAGAAAAGCGCCTAGAGTTGCAAAAATGCCTCATGATTTGCCGCAAAATTTGCCTGATCCGTCTTACAGTCCCTTTTCAGAGGTGGGGTTTTTAGTTATTCTCTTATTCTTTGTATCATTTTGAAGTTCTAGAAAACATTTCTTGTGAAAATCTCATTGGTATTTTTTATTTGGTTGTTTTGCTGTTGAATTTCATAGAAAACGGATCGAGGCAGAGCCAAATCTAACAGGAGAAGAAGAGCTTCAATCGATTCTCAAAAGCTTCTAGTTACCGACTATAAGTTTGGGAGCATGGAGGTGATAAAGAAATTTTCCAAAAACTATTTTGGTTCTTGATTGTGTTGAGAATTTAGACAATAAATTTGGGGCTGAACCCTTATTTTCCCAGAAAATTTGGGGGAAAATAAGTAAAAGATATTGGTACTGATGTTATGCCATGAATGCAGATTGAAGCTCATTCTAGAGGTAAAAGTCATGGTGGATGCGTAATTGGAATCAGAACTCGTTTAAAGGATGTCAGGAATGGCTTAGCCATCTCTAAAGAAATCGTTAAAATCTTGAATCGAGTTTCTAATTTCGAAGATTCGTCGATCATGTCATTAGTCTCGGCATTACATGTTGAACTTAACCGAGCACGAATCCATGTCGATCAATTGATTCGAGATCAACGATCTAACCGCAATGGAATCGAGCATCTCATGAGACATTTCGCCGAGGAAAAGGCTGCTTGGAAGAGGAGAGAGCGCGAGAGAATCCGCGGCGCCATAGCGTGCATCGCCGAAGAGCTCGAGGTGGAGAAGAAACTCAGGAGGCAAACTGAGAGATTGAACAAGAAGCTCGGAAAGGAATTGGCTGATACAGCTGCATCACTGTCCAAGGCAACGAAAGAGCTCGAAAGCGAGAAGAGAGCCAAAGAGATTCTCGAGCAAGTCTGCGATGAGTTGGCTCGAGGAATCGGAGAAGATCAATCTAAGATCGAAGAACTGCAACGAGAGTCTGCTGAAGCGAAGGAAGAAATGGAGAAGGAAAGGGATATGCTTCGGCTTGCCGAAGTGTTACGCGAGGAGCGAGTCCAGATGAAGCTCTCTGAAGCTAAATATCACTTCGAGGAGAAGAATGCCGCCGTCGAAAAGTTGAGGAATGAACTTGAGACCTACCTAGGCACCAAACAAGGCGAAGAAAATGGTGGTGGTTCATTGAATATGCAGAGGATCAAAGAGCTTGAAGCTTATTTGAAGGATATCGATTTGGGTTCCTGTCAAATGGTCGAGAAAGTTGCCAATAAAGTCGATGTTGTCGACGGAGAAGAGTGCGAAGCAGATGATTCAGGTGATAGTGATCTTCAATCCATTGAATTAAACATGGACAACAATGACATGAGCTACAAATGGAGCTATGGTAGCGGAAGTTATGTTGATGGTGGTTCACAGAAGATTCCTATTGAAAAGGAAAATAAGAGGAGGAAATCACTTTCTGAGATGATTTCATGGGGAAGTATTTACTTAGAAAGAGCACGTTCAAACTCTAAAGATGTGGATTTTAGCCTTGAAAGCCCAGAAGAGTTTGACCGACAAACGAACGAACGCTACGAAGACGAGATAAAAAGATATAGATCAATAAAGAGTCTTAGAGATCACATATTATCTAGTAATAGGATAGCTCCCATCCAAAGCTTTCCAAGTCCGACCCGGCAAGGGAGTCGGTCCATGCATTCCGAGGAGGCGGCCGGCCGGACTGGCTCGCCTTTGTTGAAGCCTAATCTCGTTGGCAAAAAAAGTGAAGGCCACAGCTGATAAGTGAGAGGAGCACTTGTTATTTATTTGTTTTTTCTCGAGTTGTTGCATTTTCTTGAATTCAAAGGCTGATTTCTTTGCTTATGTTTGACTCAATCGGCCAACTCCGAGTTGTTGAGAGGCTGACTTATGCAAATTAAAGCTATGAATTATGAATACAATTGCAATTAATGCATCATTTTAAGAATCCTATTGTTGTATTTTCTCCTCAAACTATACTTTCGCTGACACCCATCTTTGCTCTCGTTTCTTATCACTAATTAAATTTATTATCTGACAAATGAAGCTGCGTGCTAGTCAAATCATTTACAACCGAACTTATCACGGGTAAGCTACATCATTCATCATTGAATTTTATTAATTCAACTCTTTCTTCCTCCTCTTCAACGAACTTTCTTAAATCCAACCCCTTCTTCTTATTCAATCGAACCATCTATGACTGATTTAGCTCTTCTGCAATGATGAAATGAAAGATGATGTTGTAACAACGTCGAGTGATCATTTTTGTAACAAACCATAACGTTAATAACTTTTCAAACATCAGTGGTGAAAACGAATACTTATCCAAACATTAGTGATCATGGGATTACTTGCGTAAGAGTTTGATTGTATTGTCTTTAAATTCAAATGTGTGACTTTTCATTTTAAAAGACCCTCTTAAGATTAAATCGGATTGGAAAAATACATAATGTGAAAAAATATGTTTAATATTTGAATAAATAATTATTTTAATTTATATTATTCTTTAAAATATTTTGATCATCGATATTTTATTTTAAAGTAAATAAGTTCATATTATTCAAAATAAATAAAAAAAGATTCATATCATATAACGTTAATAAATTATTTATTGGTTAACAATTTTTTTTATCTCTATATGAACTTTTTTACTAAAAAATGAGATATTAAGATTAAAATATATGTAAAAATAAGATTTAAAATAACATTTTAATAAGATGTTAGAAATATTTATCGTCATTATATCTTAAAAAAATACGGGTGTCGACAGTTAAATGATCTAGTACTCAATTTATAGTTCCAATGATGAGGAATCCTACTTTAATACCCTAGAAAAAAAATAAGGGTTACAATGTCTTGTTCTAAAGTAGTATATGATGAGGAATCCTATTTTTTTACTGTATGTTTTTTTTTAAGTTAAGGTGATTATAAAATAGTATATGTTTTAAATATTTTTAATCATTTGACAATGAATATTTAATCATCCTAATTCAGTCGATGATGTTCGAACCCATAACCTTTAAAAACAACAACGATCCATTTAATCATTGGGATAAATTAATTAGTGCTTCTGCATGTTCTTTGAACTTTAATCTTGATTATATACACATAAGTCTAGTTTTATCCTTTATTTTATGTTGTCTTATATTCTCGATTTGTTATATATTTTTTGCTCAAATTAGGACAACCCAAGTCTTAACAATTATGACCGACCACAACTCAATTATGCAGCATAATGAGGACTTCAAAGGTAGAATCAGGGGGATGTTTGGGACCAGGATTAAGACTAACCATTTTTTATATTAAATAACAATTAATTAAATAATATTATGTTTTTTATATTTGAATTATTTCCGACATGTTACTTGGTATCTTATGTATTTGTTTTATTATAAAGTCACCATCTTCCATGTGACATTATCCTACCAGCACCAGATCTTGTAGAATGGAAATTCTCTCGGAAACATACATTTGACAAAACTCCAAACACATCACATGGCTTGTAATTTGTATTATTAACTAGGATAAATTATATATTTAGTCACTCACCTATTCTCACAATTTCATTTTGATCATCCAATTTTCTATAAAAAAAATCATACCTAACATTCTATTTTGATCACTCACCGTTAAAAAATTAATGATGATGTTGACATATTCCAAAATAAAAGGCCTCGTCATCATGGAGAAAAATAAAAGATATTCATGCCGGTAGTTCTATTTTTTTTAACTATAGTTGATCAAATTCGAAAAAAAATAGTTAGGTAACCAAAATATAACTAAAAAAAATAGATGAGTGACTAAATACGTAATTTACCCTATCAAATAAGAACAGCTCTTATTTGTTGTCCTCCACCCCAGGTCCAAAGCGTTTTCTTGTTTTGAGTCTCATCTTGCATTATTTTACCCACACGAGAGTTTCTATACACACTATCATCATTGAACTCGAATTCATTCAATAGTAATATTGTTATGAATTTTTTTATGTCTGAATTGAAAATTTAAAAAATACATGTTAATCTTGAAATTAATTAATATAATTTCATTTAATTTCTAAAATATTCTGTGTGTGCAATTGAAGCTCAAAATGACATCGGTTTTAGTGAATTTTCATGTTGTCGGTAAGCATGATGAGCTATATTTCATCAGTCCCCCTAAATGTATCTAATTTAATTTTTAAATTTATCTCATTCACAATATCATATTAGAAAAATCAACAAATAACAATATTTATATTTTCTTTTTACCCACCTTATATGTATTATTCTCTTACATATATCAAAATAAATCAGTCAAATCTATCAATCACATTTTTGGAATAATTTTGTCATTTTCGTTGATCAAATATATTTCCTAAAACTATATGTATAGTCAATATAAGACATAAATTACGGGACAAAATTCTTATTTCTAGTATGTTCTCATATGATTTATCTAAAAAATAAAAATATCTCTAAACTTGAGTTATCTGTTGTGTAAAATATAGTTAATTGCATTGCATGTTCTTAAAGTATGACAATCATTTTAAATGAGACTTAAACTTTTAAATATTCTAATTTCATACCTAAACTATGAATATCATTCTAAATTAGTCATCAAATATCTAGACATTTCAATTTCATTCCTAAACTATGACTTTTATTCTAAATTGGTCCTCAAACTTTTTGATCATTACAATTTCATCCCAAACTATACATCACATATAATATATACTACTCACATTTTTTGTTAATAAAATCGATAGGCCAAGTTATATTATTATATGTTTGAAATTTTTTTAGTTTAATCTATGGTTGAAACTAATTACATATTTGGATGAATTTGGGGATGAAATTGGAATATCCAAAAGTTTGGGGACTAATTTAGAAAGGGTGTCATAGTTTAGAGATGAAATTAAAATGTTCAAAATTTTAAAGACTAATTTAGAATGAGAGTCATATTTTGAGGATGAAATTAAAATATTCAAAAGTTTAAAAACCAATCTAAAAAGTGACCTATAGTTTGGGGATATATGATTTGGGATGAAAATATAACCCGAAATTGACTGGTTTCAACCCTACCCAATATGATAGGTTCGAAAAAAATCGTGTTCAGGTCGGGTGGAGTCGATTTTTTAAGGGGGTGAGGTCGAGTTGGATCAAGTTCGGGTAGAGCGTGAAAAAACTTTGATCCGACCCGACCAAAGGATAATAATGTAATTTCTTAAAAAGTTATTATGTTTTAATTGTCCTTATTTTATACCGGGTCGGGTCAAGTCATGTCAGATTTATACTCTAAAAATTCGATCTGAATCGTAGTTAGGTCGAGGTTATATATTTTTCGGTAGAGTCGGGTCGGATGGAGAATATATAATTTTCGGGTTGAGTCAGGTTCGAGTGGAGGATACATGATCAAGTCAGATTGATAAAAAATCTGACCCTAACTCAAGATGTTCCCATCCCTACGTATGATTCAATTAACTATGTACAATAATTGGATTGTATTTATGCATTAAATGAAATTATTAACAACGAATCTATATCCGACCCTAACTCGAGCCATTGTCATCCCTAAACATATACATGATGGAGAGTGGATCAGGTTGGGCATAAAAATGGAATTCGAAAGTCATGTCCACCACTGCGAGATCCACGTCACGAGAATGTTGCAGTGGAAGCCACCCGAAGAGAATGTCTTTTATAAATATTATTGTTTTGACGAAGAAGATGAAATTTATGAAACAATCATTTCGTCAAAGAAGGCCATATCTTTTATAAAAGTCATTCTCTTCGGGTGGCATAATTTATAGCACCAATATTGATATAAGTTTAGTGCCAAGTTGTGCCACTACAAGAAAAGCCTCTTATAAGCATAGACCGTGTTAAAATTTACAATATCAGTGCAAGGGGGAATTTATTTATAGCTGGGTAATCTCGCGTTGTGCAAAACACTAGTTTTGCAGAGATTCCTGACGTGGCAGGAAACTTGCTCTATATAAAACACGGGTTGCTGAGGGGGTTCGTGACGTGGTAGAGATTCTTAATGTGGTGAATATTCTTGACATGGAAGAGATTTCTAACGTGGAAGCAACATTTGATTTGGAATGGCAAGCCTCGCATTAAAAGGAGCGAGAAAATATGTTTATAAAAACAAAATCGATATCCATTTTGGATGAAACACCTTCGTAAAACAAATACTAATGGTGAGATTTTCTACAACTATGTTCCATTCCGGAACTTATTTATACACTTCCTTCAATGCCAAGATAAATAAAGATGAGTTGTACAACTTGATTTCAATAGAGTTTAAAAAATCTACAACACGACAGATGTGTTCGTTGCAAGCTAAATTTCCCATGGAAAATACTGGTACTGAAACACATTATATGTTGACCTTAGTGACCTACGGAAAATGTTTAAGGTTTACACACGTGTCGGTGATAGGAACATCGAGTTGACTGTAACGTTTGAGGAAGAACCATATTCAACAAGCAATGAAGGAGTAACTAGATTATCACAAGGCTATGAGGACTAAGAGCCAATTCAGCTACATATTACCCTTGAATGTTGGGAGAGAGAGCTTTAAAAACTCGTGTATTTTGTTTTTTATTATGTTTTTAAATTAGTATTAAAATAAATTTTGTGTGAGTATGATGATTCCCAAGTTGTTTATGCATCAAATCGAACAACTAATTATCATATTGTTCAAGGATAACTTAAACAAATTAATAATTTTAAAAAAAATTAAAAGAAAACTAGAACATTATATTATATTCGAATACTTTTTTTAAACAAAAAAGAAAACAAACTAAAAAAAGAAAATGCAACTTGAATAACTAAAAAAATTACAAATTTAAACAACTAATG